GGACAGGTGTCTAGTCATTAGGGTGAGACGAAAAACCGAGATCCCGTGTACACTATGGGGTGCACGTAAAAGAACCCTTTACAGTTGGAATTCGAAATAAAGAGTAGGCCGGGCAAAATTTCGCTCATAGCACACCGTAGGCCGTATGTCCGTCTTCATTATCAAGATTTAAAGAGTTAGAAATACGTTATATGGCTGGGTCCGCTCGAGGTTCTTCCTTTTCTTATATATAACTTTGCCGGGATTTATATGGTGTTTGCACATATCGGTAAGACATAAAAAACTGTGCTAATCCAGGAACGCTCGGGGTTCTTTCTTTTTGATATATACTTTTTTGTTGGGTATGTGGAAAATAAGGTCACAAACTGATTAAATGAAACAAATTGCACTGTTTAGTTCACTTTTGGTGGGTTTATTCTGCGGAAAATGGTAGGAAAAAGGTCCGAACCCGTTTGCAGCCCCATCCCCACGCGTTTCCGCCCCTGCAACATAAAAGCTAACACGAAACGCAAATAAATGACTATGGGAATCAGTTGTGACTAATGGTGTGCCCTGTGATGCATTGTGTCTAGTGCTGTATCTATCCTGGGTCTACCGGTCTACATCAATGATACATTGTCATCAAATAGTCCACTTATCATCCATTCTCACATTTTCAATTCATTATTTGATTTTTTAACATCAAAAGCTGTGGCTAAAATAAAAATAAATATTTAAAATCCGATAGTGTAACTCTAACGAACGCACTAAGCAAATAAATCAGAGGCTTCGTGAGAGATATAACATTTCTTTTCCTGCGATGATGGCCCAAGGGAATATACAACGCTTCATCACTCAAATTACAAATATAGATATATCATAGCAAATACTGGCCAATTCCTATCACTTGTGTGCAAAAACTGTCAGCTTTCAAGTCAGTGTTGACGCCAATTTCTTATTGATTTCTGTTTAAGAAATCCGAATTTCAAATTCCTCCACCGCCATTAAGTTAATTCCACTTCAGATCACGAATTATTGCAATTAAACTTTTGCACAAGGAAGTATTTTTTCATCTCGATTGGGAATTCAAGATACTGATGTGTTTTCAACATTCAACACCGACTATACGTCATACTCCCAAGCAATTTCGTTCTGGTTGTCACTTTTATGCATTTACATTAATAAACATATGACTCAGGTGCATTATTCACGGAACTTGTAATCTCTTCATATCGATTGCAACTTACATTCAACATGATCAGTTAACATTGTTAAAGGACTTAAAAAAGAGGGAGGAGGGAGGGTGTGTAAAGTCCACTCGATACAGATTTCGGGATTAACTATTCAAGTTTATAACGGGTGTTTTCATTTTGGTCAGTAAATCGGGCATATGCATTGTGCTATGAGGGAAATTTGCGTGGACAGCGGCGATATGGCCTACTATTATTTCGAATTCTAACTGTCAAAGGTTCTTTTACGTGCCCGACAACTGAGTAACCAATCGTGCTGCCTCAAGAGAATATAGGCCTAACGTTGCAGGATAGATGTATTCTCGGAGTAAACTTATATTCTTTAGAGAAATAATAAGAAGAAAAGAATAGTTTAGGTGTATTTCAAGGTGACAGTCATAATTCAACCAAAGATCAAATGAGCACAACGCGTCGAATTACTGAGAAACAATAATTGTGGAATTAGCGGAATGAAATGATTGGAAAAGTAAGAGTTGTGTCCCCTGAGAAAAACCTGTCATGTAATTTTTTTTTTACTCTGATATGGTGGCTGAAAGCGTCCATTTAGATCGGCGTGTTTCTAGATACAACGCGAGAGTCGCCGTTAAGCCAGCACGACGAAAAAGGCGCCGATCGGCGACTTTTTCGTCGTACTACCTTATCGGCGACCCGCGACTTTCACAACACGAGATTCGCCGTTAAGCCACGCGCCGAAAAAGTCGCCGAAAAAATCGGCGCCCTTTTCGGCGACTTGCTTAACGGCGACTCTCGCTTCGGAAGTTTATAGTTAGTTACATGCGCAATGGCTACATTTTACTTCTCGTATATAAAACGGAGGAGCTTTTGGATGAGTTAGGACTTGTAGGCTAGCCTACTTTCTGCCACAGATGGAGCAAAATGTGGCAAACTCTTGCACAAAAGCATGTATGAGGTTTACCATGAAAAACTTGAAATACACAAGCTGGAAGTAGGGACAAGTAAACATGCAATTTTCGGCCCTACATTTCAACCTAACCGACCTCTAAAAATCATGAATATTCACCAAAACCTGGCAGAAAATGTATTTTCAAACCCATTTCTTCGATTCTACACCAAAAATCGCCATGCAAAAGGGGGGAAAGGGAGAGAAAGACTAAAAATAACTTTCGCCCTACATTACGGCGTAGAAATATTTGGTGATCTGTGTGCGTAAAATGTAGCCATTGCGCATGTAACTAACTATAAACTTCCGAGGCGAGAGTCGCCGTTAAGCAAGGCGCCGAAAAAGGCGCCGATTTTTTCGGCGACTTTTTCGGCGCGTGGTTTAATGGCCACTCTCGTGTTGTGAAAGTCGCGGGTCGCCGATAAGGTAGTACGACGAAAAAGTCGCCGATCGGCGCCTTTTTCGTCGTGCTGGCTTAACGGCGACTCTCGCGTTGTATCTAGAAACCCGCCGATCTAAATGGACGCTTTCAGCCACCATACTCTGATGATCCCGTGGCTTTTTCTCGGTGAAGGTTATTCAATATTAGCAACATAAATTATAATTTAGAAGAAAAAAAATAATTACAGGGCGTTTATTTTTATAGAATAAATTAAACTTCCCACGTTCATTGTAATTTAGCCAATTTCCGATGAAAAACAGAATCCATTTTCTCACAACAAATAACATAAGTATTGATAAATACTCATAAAATCGCTGACTCGCAACTTCAGAGTCCCTTTAATATAATACAAAAAGAAATATGTCAATTGTGGGTCTATACCTAATTCTTATGATTTACTTAGTAGAGCTTATCGGTTCATAAAAAGATGTAATAAAAAGCGTGGACTAACTGATAAGATGTTTCATCTAAAGGTCGTGTACATGAAGTTTCTTTTTAAGTTAAAGTTGCAATTGCAAATTTTCAAGTTATATTTTTAAAATGTATTAAAATAAAGCCTTAAAATAGAAGGTATCCATAAACAGTCCTACCTTGTTAAAGAATTATCCTATTAATCCTATAATTCGCTATTGCCAGCTCAGAAATTAGCAAAAATATCATTTTTAACTTCAAATTCTAACGTTGGAAAATGGCTGCCCCATGTTGTCAATAGCAAAACAGGGGAGGTAATTGTGTTGTTATTTCCTGTGTCATAGATCTTTAAGGGTGGGAAATAATGCCCATGATCGTATAATAGTGATTTGATAACCTATTGAGCAAAAGACATAGAAATAATTATGTTTTGACTTTCTTAGAAAATTTGAAATTCTCGCTTTAAAGGGTCCTTTTTCACGTCGACTAAAATGGTGGCTTGAAGATTAAGCAAGGCGCGACTCACTAACAAGGATGTCCCGGGTTTCAATCGCAGGGTTGGTCGAGAAAAAGTACCCCGGGATTTTCAGTGTGGTGCGCACTTGCAATGACAGTGGGAACACGTGAGGGGGGGGGGGGGGTCTGGCAAGATACAGTGCCAAATCATTCGGGTGGGACAAAAACCCGAGGTCCCTGCATGCAAAAGCATTCTGCACAGAGAGATCATTCTTGGAGAATAGATCTCTGTCCAATTGCCGCCATATCCCAAAATTAGTTTACTGTTTTATCATACAGACAAAGACTAAATAAACCTTTTCGATTTTATTAAATGGAAGCAAATTAAATACTCAACAAATTTCTCGAAATATATTTAGTATTTTCGACTAAAATCATCGATTTAGGACTTGTCGGTCAACTAACTTAGAGTCTGTTCTCAAGCGAGGGTAACTGTAAACAGACAGCCTAAGTTTAGTATGACGTAAACGCTCGCGTCTTGGCAGCTAAAAAGCCGTTGTTCGGATAAATTTCCCCCGTAACACCCTGCATGGCCTTAATCTGTTTCACAGAGGTATTCATTGCTAATCACTGTCTCATCATGGCATATTCCCGTCTTCATTGGCGAGGACTGTGCAGAAAAGTAGGACGTTAAACCCCAGTGAATTTTCGACGGGTTACATTGGTTTTACACCACCACCTTTACAACTAGATGTTTTGATGCAATAAATCTTTTTATACTCGGGTATGCTTAAATAATAACAGTCTTTATATTACAGTATACATTTTTGACTATTGAAAGATATATAAACGCCCTGGATTTCGACCGTAATGGTTATTTCAATAGAAGAGAGGGGGTGGGGGGTAATGTTCACGCAACACAAACTAGGTCATACCGGGACTAACATGTTCGGTTAAAGAAATCAAATCATGTATAGGCCTAATAGGATAGAATTGAAGGCAATGACGCCGCTCTTCCCTCTTACAAAATACAAAGATGTTTATCTAAGCATATAACTGCGCCTAATACAGTAATTGGGTGCTATTTTCCTTGATGTTTTGTGTAAAACTCGCGTGCTCGAGAACTCACATGGTCAATTGTGCTTTCTCTATACACGTCCTCGTATCGTTGTTTTTTTTCCATTTTTGGGGTTCTGCAGTTCTCCTGCATTGTCTATTCCATTCAGTTTGAGTAAAGTCAATTAATGAAGTTAGTATCTATAAACTTTTAAAATGAAAACTGTATTGCGTATCTGAACTGTCCATATTTGGCAGTTATAAGACAAAGAAACAGTGTAAAGAAATGTAAAGAAATCGACTATAACACTAATCACTCATAACTTGTTGAGGGTTTGCCGTCAGAAATAGTGGGCGAGGCTATTACCTCACTGGGGGTCGGAAAAAATTGAATATTCATGAGCAAAACAAAGGGCCTGTGAGTGAGCTCATCGATATCGGTAGACTTCAACTCTTAAAGGGTTTCGGTCAAACGTTTACAATTTACAATCTACATAGATCAGTTCGTCTTGTGCCGACACACAGTGAGCTCTGCGTTTTTCTCTTCACTACAGTGTCAGTGAGCACACTCAGTCATACCGTAGAGCCGCGTGCTTGGGTTATAGTGTAGTGTATCTCTAGTTCTCGTTCATACTGCAGGACCAAACTGGGCCTCTGGAAAGGTAGTTATTAAGAGAAAGTTTTCTTTCTTTAGACACAAAAACTTTCTCGGACTTTGTTTTATTGGAATTTTACTCTTTGTTAGTGCTTTAGGGGAAATAACTTTACCATGGTGGGGCTCAGTATTACTGGATTGCAAAAACTTAGTTGTGTAGCTTTTCTGCTAGTTTTATGTGCATTGTTTGGTGCAGAATGTCAGAGAACTTGTAAGGAAGCTGATATGTGCTGTAAGGGACAGAATAACACGTGCTATTTATTCGGACCTAGAATGGACGGGAACTACAACGAATCTAGATGCTATTGTGATGGCAATTGTTTGATTATGGGTGATTGTTGCATTGATTTTCATACCAACTGCGAAGGTAAGTTCCCTTAAAAATTTAACCGAAAGCAAAGTAAAAATCATGGCGGTTCCATCTATAAATAACTTTGGTTTCTGTGTATGAAAGATGTCAGAATATTAGCCATCGAATTTTGAATATGTAAATCCTACGAGGTTTCAGCGGTTAATAAAGAGGCTTACTTCGAAAGATAAAGGTTTTGATAAGCGGATAATTTATGGAGGTAGTACAAATTTTGATATTGCTCTCAAAGATTATAATCTTGTTTGAGCAGTTTTACGATAACTGGGTCAAAACCTAAGAATATCAAGTTCGTTAGTAGGTTCCACGTATATAGGGAAATACACAGTGAAAGCCAAATGATGTCTATCCAGGCTCTTAAAAACTTTATCTGCCGTTATTTCAACTTATGTACGGCTTTGAAACAAAGTTATAGGTTTATACACCATTCAATTTGATTAGAAGCTTGATACATAAAGTTACTTAATAGGTGGGAAATGAAGATATGGAAAATGAACTTTGAATTCATAATAAACTAATTACTTTGTTTCCAACACTGAGCAGCATTAGATTTGGTGGTTTTCATAGACCTTTTATCAATGGGATGAAATAATTTCCCCAATTACTGCAAATTTCACAAATTTAACATATTATATACTATCTATGTTAATGTAAAAATGGACTAACATTTTTCAAGATAAAATCGATTCTATTAAAAAAAAAATCATTCTTACAGACTGTACATATACATAAAAATAAAAAACATTTGTTGTGATGCACCAGGGCATCAATATTACTGATTCTTGGTGACTACATGTATGGTACCTAAAATCTTGTCAGTATTTTCAACACATGGTCAGTATTTATCAATGACTTTGATGTTACAGATGTTTCCAAACGGGCTATCTTATGATCATCAGCATTTAATGCTTGGCCTGTCTTTTTAGTTTGTTCAAATGTGTTTGATTGTTCCACTGTTTATCCGATGTTACCTTTAACTGACTTCTGCTGGCTTTAATGTGACACCAGGTGTTGGTTCAACACAGCCCCTTTTAAAGTGACAGTCTTTCAAAGGTTAATTTTACAAAATAGAATTTTTATTAAAATTAGGATATTGTAGTTTTTCTAACTTTAAGGTGAGGGGACATACAGTAGACTAGATTCCGTTATGGAGAATAAACTTATTTAATTTAGAAGCAAGTTATTGAATGCTATATAAAGGATTACAATATTTGCAATTTTATGCATGGCTGGACTGCTTCTTTAAATTTATAAGAATAATAATGCATTTATTTCTATAGACCATGAATAGACAAGTGAGGGTAGTTGTTATTCAAGGCAAGCTTTCACTATTGACAGTACAACACAGAAAATTTTGATTGCTAATGCCTGTCCATAAATTGTTAATCTTGAATATATTAATGTAAACAAAGATATTGGTTCAATATCTGTTTTATGAGGAATATTGATCAGGATGCAATTAAAATTAAAGACTCTTACATAAAAGACTAGCGAACAATATACAGGATAGGATACAGTATAACGCACAATAAAGTTTGTCAGTTAAGTTATGTGTGTGCTGGGGGTGGGGACAACACAATTCTTATTTATACGTGGGGAAATTAATTGTCACCTGATCTCTAGTTCGATAGACAAATTACAATGCAAAATTTTTCAAAGATATCGGTATAATTTAAAAAAGTAAATTGGAGATTAAAAATACATGACACATTATGTATGGCTTTGTGTTTCTAGCAAATACAGAAAACTCATGATAATAAAATCAAAGCACAGCACTTATACTTTAGAGACCTATTGAAACTAAATGTGTTTTTATAGAACTAGGATCAAAAGGCTTTTTAAAAAATGACATCCCTGGTGATTCTGAAGATGAATAGGTGCTATATTTTTGTGAATATTGATATGATATGCAGAGGAAACAATAGACTGTAAACTATGATATTTCGCTGACATTTACGAGATTTCCTATCATTCGATCAATATAAACAATATGAATAAACTGTGCAATAGGAAGCTTTGTATTTACTCAGTCTATCATACTCTAGATTAAACTGAGGGAATATGATATATTTAAGGGGTAAAAAATCATTAAAAACTGTGGTATATTGAAAATAAACTGTGCAATATGAAGTCCATAACTCCATGAAGGTGCAATATGACTTATTGAATATTGAAAACTGGTGTAAACTGAAAAAAAAAACCTGTGCAATATGAAATATATATTTCACTTAAAACTGAATTAAACTGGTGTATACTGGAAAAGACTGTGCATACGAGATCTATGCCACATAAGATTTAACTATTTTATATGTTTGGAGAGAACTTATATAGGCCTTTGCCTGTTGTTCAGTCCAATTCAGTTTATTGAATAAAATATTGTTTAAACTATGCCCTATAAAACTGGTCATTGTGATCTATAATTAAAGCCACCCAAAAAATAGCCAATGTTTATGTTACTTGGCACAAAACAACAGGGTCGGTCATTCTCAGAAACATTTTTTTTTATTATTTTTCTTTTCGTTTGGAATGAGCCAATAAATTAATCTTTTATAACCTACATCAATACTGAAAGAAAATTGAGATACTGAAAAAAAAAAGTTATGTAATGTGAAATCTGCAATTCTCATCACACTGTGTTATAATGTCTGAAATTCACATTAAATGGAACTAAACTATGTCCATTTAAATCATATATTTTACATGTAACTGTACTTAATGCCATTGTTTTACAATCATGGTGGCAGGGGGCAGAGTTACATTGTAAAATAGAAATTTATATGGGGTTTAACGTCCACTCGACACAAACTAGGTCATTTCGGGACTAACATATGGTTTAATTTTATTTACATAATTCGCTTGCGCGTAGGGGTCTTTAGCAGTGGGAGGAAACCGGAGGACCCGGAGAAAACCCACGAGGTTGGACAGGCGACCCTACTCCTTGCCACGTACAACCGGGGATTCGAAACCACGCCAGTCGACTCAATGACAGACTGTATGATACAGCGCGCGCACGCTAACCATTCAGCCATCCAACCCCCCAAATGCAGGGAAAGTGTACGACAAAATACAGACAAAACAAGTACATGTAGTACAAGAATATGACACAAGTAGATGTAGGTAGATATTTCCAGAGAAGATATACAGTTTAAACAGAAAAAAACTAAATGTATTTTAATAACTTGCTTTAATGGTAGCTATGTCGTATTTGACCTTACACTATTATTACTAAAAAATGGCCTGGATTAAATGTACATGTACAACTAATTATGTTCCGTTAGCAAAGTTAAGGAATTACTTGTAGCTATCACCTAGTTTAACAAGAGTTTGTGCTTTTAAAAAATCCTAGATCTGGTTGGTAATTGTGTTATTTATGGTCGTGTATATCTACTATAGGAATGTACTATCATGTGTAAACTGTTTTCTAATACTACAGTGTCAGGTGAAACATTCAGCTTAAAGAACTTATAAGCCACATCAACCTGCTCTCAGCACAATAGTTCACATACTACCAGAATTACTCTTTCATCTATTGTACCCCCTCAAGTAGTTATTTCATGACCAGTCGAAGGGATGAAGAGATTTACTGCTGAGGTGTGAATGTATCTGCAGTAAATAATCAGCATGGAGTATTGTTGCTTGACCAATAGTCAATGATGTAACATTCAAACAATACAACTGGTAATTTTCTCAAGGATTCCTGACATTGAATAGATGTCAGTCTCGTAAAATATCTAATTACTTTACGTAATCCATCTTTCTACTGTAAGATGTTTGTGTCTTTTTTCCTAATCTACTTAACATTGGTCCATTTAACACGAAAATTCAGTTAAAAAGAAGATCAGTAATTTGCCACACATGGTATAAATTATAACACTTCACATGTTCACAACATATAAAAGATGTACTTTTATCCATTGGTTTGATAGCAAAAAAAGTTTATGTAAAAGTTTAATACCAGTATAATGTATCATACATGTATGGAATTAGTTTGCCAAATGGTTAAAGATACATTATGGGAGATTAGATTTAGATAAAGAGCTGGCAGTTCTCACTATAATAGTTAAAAACTAGATAATGTAAAGGGAATTTGCTTAAAATTTCAGCGATTAAATTTTCGGCCTAGATTCCATCATCATTACTAAAGTCGGTACTATAAAAATCATAGTCTCGATTATCCACTTCATTATTAAATCAGGAATGGAAGTCGAACAACAAATCAGAACCTAATCCAATAAACATCGCAGGCTAGCGATGCCATCAAGAGTTGATTATGGTCTGGATAAGTTAATTAATGTCTAATTAATAATTAAGATAACATTTCAGGCCTAAAGAAAGACCTGCAATAGGCAGATTTAGCTCTTGCATAATGTATGTTTAATATATTTTAAACACTTTACATGTTCACAACATATAAGAGATGTAAGCCTATTTTATCCATTGGTTTGGTAGAGAAAAACAAACTTTAATTATATAGTTTATGTAAAAGATTAATACCAGTACTTGAAAAGAGATAATGTATCATACATATGGAATTATTTTGCCAAATGGTTAATATATTTTGAAGATGAATTTATTTCGAGTTGCTACTTTTTTAGTTGAAAATATGTTATTTTTGTTAAGACTCGTACACTCAAATTTCTATGTTAACAAATATTCCTTTTCAAAAATTTGTTGTTTAAAAGTATTTCATTATTCTGTTGTTTATGAACAAAAAAAAAATAGATATATGTATTTCAGTAAGTCTATTTCTATTTTTATGAATTTCCTTTAAACAAATTTATGATAGATTAGAATAAAAACCTGTAATTTGTCATCCATTTATATGATTGATTAATTTATGTAAGATTAAAGCTCTTGCATAATGTATGTTTAATATATTTTAAACACTTTACATGTTCACAACATATAAGAGATGTAAGCCTATTTTATCCATTGGTTTGGTAGAGAAAAACAAACTTTAATTATATAGTTTATGTAAAAGATTAATACCAGTACTTGAA